ACCCTGTCGCTGGTGCTGACAATCTGCAGCATTCCCATGGGCACGATACCGTTATCGCGGACGCGCCGCCAGCCACTCAGGTGATTCTGCAACCCTAAGCAGACGCCTCTTACGTTTCCGCGCAAAGTTCTCGACGCTCGACACTGAAACGTATCTAGCGCGCGTACTGGTGCAGGACGCGTCCAGGTTGTAAGCGGAGCTTCCGTCTTCCAAGGAAAGGACCTTTTGACAAGCTGGAACACATGAATAGGTTTTTCCCCACTTCCCACTTTCTCCTGCGTCGTGCACTACGGCAATACATTGTTAGCAGCAACCACTGTATACGAACGCCCTGGAGGCTATTGACAGTTCTAGCCGTGCAAAGTTGCAACTAGAGCAGTCAGACTCCCGGCGTATGCTCCAGAGTACGTCTTGCTATTACGATTGAAAACATTAGGACCGTCGTATGCTTCACGGGATGTCAGGTTCCCAAGGCTGCTTCCATACAGTACAACAACTTCAACGCGAGAGCCGCAAATGGTATTACTCCCGCTATGCTTACTACCCGCTATCCGAAATCTCTTCACCGTGTTTCGTTCCGACGCGCCTGTTCGATCGTCACTGCCACCCATTTCAGCCTGCTAACCTTCGCTTGCTCATGCCACATCCTCTCTAAGCCATCGGCTGCACGCCTAGAATCTCGACCCATCTGTGGGCGGCGAGGCGGCTAAAATGCGCGATTCTAGCGTCAACGTAAGCGTTAAGCTTTGGCCGCCAAGCATCCGTTCGCCTGCTGCGGGCAGGCCTCCGGGACTACTGAATGGGGAGCTACCCGGCACGGCAAGCGGATCGCATAGGCATCGCATCGTTAGCCATGCGATATCAAAATAGTCTTTTTGACGGATACAGACACGGAGATTATGGACGTTAGATGCTTTTTTCGAAATAGGCTACGTCTACACCGTCTCCGCAACCTTGCACTACCAGCCTTGTACCAAGCGCACGTCGAAACCTTGTGAAATTGTCGGGTCCGCGGTTCGCGATGTCGGCGCGGAGGCGACCGACAAGCCGGAGCACAAGTGGAAAAGATCTCATGGACTAGACCGAAGTCGTGCCGTAGACGAAGGTCGTTTTCCCTAAGCGTAGCAGAGGCTGACGACGATGGAGCATGGGCTGGATGTAACAGCGGGAATAGTAGGGCGGAGATGCGCCGTTCTCCTTCAAGATGGGGACCCACGAGATGGATGTACAGGTACATGTACACATGACGATTAGTGTCCGCGGAGGCTGAACATGACTCTATGCAGGGCCGATTAACGATGGATATGACAGCCCTTTACAAGGTGTTGCAGCCCGATTTGTAAAGTATATTCGCAAGGGATTGCCCTCGTTGCGGTGGTACTCGTCGCTTACAGCCAACTGCTTCCTGCTACCCGCGACAAGCCCGGCACTTGGTTGTTATTCCACCCCACGGACGAAACACGATCAATTTGATGTGTCGTCCAGAACGCCTATTATGGCGCCCGGAGGTTCTCAGGCTCTTTTGTGGATCGAAATCGTACGCGAATAGTTTCATGTAGACCTCAGTCTCGACCTCGACTCTGACTGACACCGGGTATTGTACCAGTCATACACCGGTGTTACCGGTGTATATTCGCGGTATATCACACTCGCATTCGCGTTCGGACCGATACACTGATTTTTCAAATCCCATGCGGCTTTCATGGTTGTGTTTTGGTCACAACATCGACACATATTGAGATTGATGAGTTCGGACGCGGCCCATGGGGTTGACAGCGTTAGACTTTGGACTACACCAACATGAAAATTATCCAGATGATTTTGATCGATGCGATCAGAAGAGGGGAATAGGAACAGTTTTAGACGGACGACGCTTTCAAATCCAAGTCTTTTGGACGTATGTGTTTGAATTTCTGGACACGCATGACAGATACATGGGTCATCAACGCCGATATTCCGAATATTTGGGATAGCCAGGACAAAGACATAGATTCTCTGGCGCAGGTTTTTGAACTTTTTGAGAACGTGTAGTCAGTAAGGTAGTATGACATGTGGACGTAGAGCGGTGCAGGTGGGCGGCACCTTGCTGTATTAGGACGAACCGAGGTGGGGCGATGAGCTCACATCAAGCACGAGGAAACACCAAACGACGCGTTCCGACGCGACAACCCGCGCAATCGTTTGTTTGCGACTTCTCCATTCCATTCTACGACGTCCGACGCCGTCACGAGCTTCAAGATGTTTTCGTTGCCTATGATCGCGCCGCGCCCAGTAAGTACTCTCACGCGTATCTCAGAGTGCTCCAAACATAGGTCATGTTAGCAACAAATTGACGATATTCCCAGGACGCCAGCCTTTGGCCATCCCACCACACCACCCACGCCGCCTTCGAAGATCCCCACCCGAATTCCCCGCCAGACACAGCCCACGGCCAAAACCAGCGACGCCCTACCTCGCACCATGGCCCTCGTCGCATTCAAAATCAGTTCCTCGCCAGTTTAGCCGCCGACGAAAACACAATCGCCCAGCGTAAACTCAATGTTCGCAGATTCGGCGCGGGCTGGATTCGTCCACCCGGTGTCACCAAAACACTCCAAGCCAGGGAGGACGAAAAGTTCGAGAAGGAGGAACAAGAGATGATGCAGCGCAGAGAGCAAGCCATGATGGATTTGGCAGCCGCACAACAAGACGCCGCAAATGAGGAGCAAAGGGAGAGAGGAGAGATGGCGGAAGAGGCTGGAGAAGGCGAAGAAGAAAGAGACCTTGACGACGAAGTCCCCGAGGCAGAAAGCACACCCAGCGCATCCGCCTCCGAGGTCTCCAGCGACGAAGAATCAGAGGAGGAAGCTAGCGAAGTCAGCGGCGATGTCCAGGAAGAAAGCACAGTACCGTTCAACGAGGACAGCTTCATTGAGGGCAGCATGTTGGAAGCAGAAGTATCGCATATGTTGGAGATGGAGGAGGCGGAGATGGCAGGCGTCCTACAAGATGAGCGCGATCTCGATGACGATGTACCAGAAGCCGGGAGTTACGAACACACGGATTCCGAACTCGAAGATGATAGCGACGTGGATAATAGCGCCCTTCCACCTGGTCTGGCTTCTGCGCGTTCCACACGTTCACATAGACGCCGCTCCAGTGGACGCCGTGTTTCAAGCCGCAGAAGTTCGGGATTGCCTGGGGGCATGATGTTTGGAGGCGGACATCCCGCTGTTGGAAGGGTTAGTCTGGGCGTTGATTTGGGGAATGGGCGTAGTAGCTTCGGCATGGATGGTAGTAGTTCGCTGCTTGAGGGCAGCTCGTTCTTGAGGAGCTCACCTGCAGGGAATGCGGCGGCCAACAGGGGTAGTCTGAGAGATAGGTTCTTGGGGGCTGCGAGGGGTGGCGGTGGAGGAGGCGGAAGGAGGGCTTGATGCTGAAGTGTGGTAATGATTATGAATGTACGATAGAGATACCCAGTAGCTCGATAGAGCCTGATTGTATTCAGATGAGCAACAAGCCCGTTTCATGCTACCAACATACAAGCCAGGAGGTATCATCCCGTTCTAACATCGCCTCTACCCATGCGAAACACGACCCGGACGACAACATGCCCCTACACCTCAGCTAACATCTCTTCAAACGCCTTCTCGAGGAAGCTACCTGCCTCCCCAAATATTCTCGCGCGCTCTGCCCTCTCCTCGTCGGAGTCCAAGCCCAAAACGTGACTTACACACCGCATAGAATCTTCCAGGGCGTCCCTGCCTTTCAGCAGCAGGTAGTACTCCAGACGAGTCTCTATGGAGCACTCTCCATCCACACACTCACCAACGTAGTCTCCATCGACTGCGCCGCTCAGCTGATAGATACGCTGCTGCCATTCGTCGTCGGCAACCGTCATCATCTCTTCCATTCCGCGTAGCAACGACGCCAATGTAGGTACTGAGCTACTGTGGATGGCCCACAGTGCGTTCAGCTTGCCGATGGTGGCGTCGATAAACTTGTGGTCTGACATGAGGTCATGAGCGATCGAGCGGTGGGCTTGTTCTGGGCTCAAACAAATCGGGTCTGATTTGGCGATCAATATGTGTTCCTTGTTGTAGAGTTGAAGGTGAAATGGGTTTCTGAAGTCTTCTAGCACCGAGAGTGGTGGAGAAAAGGTGAAGGTGTCTGCTTCTAGCTCTTCCGGTGTCAGGATGCTGATGAGGTACATGAGGCTACCACTATTCCACTCGATAGGCTCATCCGTGTCATCGGAAATCGGTGAGGAGGGCGCTGTGGACGAACCATCCATGCTGGACAGACTTACGCGAGAGCCGCGGGAGGAGGGAGGGGTCCATCTGAGGTTAGGAACCCATTGAACACCAGGCTCGCCCAGAATAGTGTGCTGGATGTTGTGAGATACATTGTCGCTGTCACAGCCAGGCTTGCTGCTGGTGTTGACCTTGAGGAATACATCGGTGTCGACGGTCTTCGTAGGCTGCGTAGGAGACTCGGCGTATCTGTCACTGAAGGGGTTGGCAGAAGGTGCTGCTGACGAGGCCATCATGTCGGATTCAGCGTGATTGCTGATCTGAGCGCTGTCAGGGGGATTGATGGAAAAGAGCAGATGGTGACGCTGAGTGTGGGAGACGGAGCTGTCAGGAGTAGAAACTGCGAAGATGACGGGTATTAATAGGGTTCGCTGGCTTGTTGAACAATAGCTGGTGACAGCGGCTATTCAAGCCCCACGGTGATCATGAATGCGCAATGTTGCCGCGGTGGACCGCCTGATTCACGTAGCATTGTCTGGAGATACGAAAAGCGACAATAAGAAGATACGGTAGAAAATGAATGCGAAGGTACATTGACGAAGGGGTCGGAGTGTAGCAGATCTCCTGTTGTACGTGACCTATAGTTGCAGCAAACCGAACGCTTCGTCACTTTACAAACAGTGGCGCTAGAATTCGTCACAGTCATGCATTCAAATGATGTCGTTCATTTCTCACTGTGCCCATCCATGCGGTAGAAATATACAAAGCTCAGTGGGTCGCAAATATGTTGCGTGTGCGCAGGTGGACTGGGGTCTCGCCCTTTGGCGCATCTGGTATCGTCTTCTCCAATTTCTGAAGTGGTATTAGCGAAAGACACAAGGCACAACGATAACCGCGACATACCAACTTCTCGAATACACACTTGTTGAGCTTGCGCTCTTCTGACCGGCAGTTCCACAGTTGCTGGTTATGGTTCTCTAGGCATTGCCAGTGGGTGCGGAACTGTTCCAGGCAGTTCTCGTTGATGTCCTTGATACTGCCACAGCTGTCAGTACCCAGGGTTCCTCATTCGACCTTGCGCCAGTACGTACACGCTAGCCGCACACCTGGTGACCTTACGGCCTTCCTTCATGCAGTCAAACTCTCCCCGGCCGTTGGCCTCGGTCTTGCACATCATGTAGTCATCGTTGTAGGCCTTGCATCGCGCGCCAATGAAGAACGAGGCACTGAGGAGGGGCGCAGAACTGGCTCCGAGCTCCTTGACCTTGGGGATGTCGTCGGGTAGAGGGGTGGTGTCGATGAGGGCTTGCTGGTTGAACCTGCAATTTAGTCAGCATGTGTGAGCGCCATGAGGTTGGCAGGGGGCGCTTACCTGGGCTGGCGCGACGACATCTTGAGGGTGAGGTGCCAATGGCGGGCTATCGGCTCACGAATTGGAGATGATGCTCGTGAGGTCGTCGCGGAAGTCGGTCTTGGCGCTCACTAAAACTGGCAGGGATGCGATGGGCCGCGCTTGTGCCTGACCTTTGTGAGCGAGAGACAACAATCTCTCACTGCTCCATCTGCACCCCAACTGCGCCTTTACACGCCTCTTCTGCTTCTCATCAAACAGGATGCGCGCCGATTGATTGTTTTTGTAAATTATACCAGCGCCTACTTTCAGCGATCGCCTCCTTCGCGTGCCTGCGCGCGACCGAAAACAAACATTGGAAGCTCCTCCATCCGCGACCTGAATAACGTCACTCGTTCGAATCACTATCGAATCTGCCCAGAAGGACACGCGCATACTACGAATTCTATTCAACATGTCTTTCAGCTTTGGAAACCCGGCAGGTGGAGAAAAGAAGACGGGCACTCTGTTTGGAAGCACCACAGCACCAGCTGGCGGTCTTTTCGGTCAATCGCAGCAGCAACAGCCGCAGCAGTCGAACGCGACACAGTCCAGCCTCTTCGGCTCATCGACCGCCCCTCAACAGAACAACACCAATAGCCTGTTTGGCTCGACACAGCCGCAACAACAACAGCAGAACTCGGGATCGAGCTTGTTCGGCCAGCCCCAACAACAGCAGCAGAATGCAGGCTCAAGCCTCTTCGGACAACCTCAACAGCAACAACAGAATGCCGGCTCAAGTCTGTTTGGCCAGCCTCAGCAGCAACAGCAACAGCAGCAGCAGGGGCAGCAACAACAGCCAAATATGAGCAACAGCCTCTTTGGCGCCTCGTTGCAGCCTGCGCCCGTCCTGAACAACATTCAGGCGCAAAGCATCCAACAACAGCGCGAAGGGCTTCCGCAGTTGCGCCAGTCCTCCGCGCAACCTTTCGCTGCTAATACCATGAACGGTCACAGTACGGCACCTCGAAATCACCGCTGAAGTCGCGCTAACACTTGCCAGGAGAGAAGTCGGTCATTGAGCAGATACGGATCCTGAATAACAAGTGGGACCCCAGCAGCCCCGAATGCGTCTTCCAATACTACTTCTACAACTCGGTCAAGCCTGAAGAAGCGCCCTTCTACGGTCCCTCGCAGGGTGAAGACGAACGGAAATGGGAGGAGGCTTTGTCCAAGAAGCCAAGTCCAGGTGCTATTCCTGTGCTTGCGCGTGGCTTCGAGCAGGTTGGAGAACGCATCAAACAACAAGCAGCCGCCGTCACCGCGCTACGAACCCGCCTGCACGAGATCAACAATGCACTATCGCTTCTCAAAGACGCCCATGAGCTGACGGTAGCATCGCGCATCACCGAAGCTAAGCGCAAGCACGTTGTCTTCACCCAGCGAACGTTGGCCCTTGCAACCAAGGTCCAGATCTTGCGAAACCGGGGATACGTTATGGATCAGCCAGAGGAGGAATTGAAGAAGAAGCTCATCGAGTTGGAGAAGCAGACCTTTGATCCTGTGCTTGGCGGGCGACAAGAAGAGATCTGGGCGCGTATGTCCGGTGTGCGCGAGCGGGCGCGCATCCTACAAGAGGAGACTGAGAAGCTGGGCAAGACGATTGACCAGCAGCAAAATGGTGAACTTCTTACAGATGAAGACCAGAAGGCATTGGAGAAGGTAAGAAGCCCATTTCACGATCCCTCACACATACTAACAATGTATCTCAGCTTCTCAAGGACTACGACCGACAACTCGAGCACCTCAAGAAGTGGGTCGACGACACCAGAGACGAATACGACGAGTGGGAGACTGCAAAGCACTCAAGGCCAGCAAAGCGATAAGGGTATAATACGAGGGCGCATTTGTCATGTACGATTCATAGGAGATGTAGAGGTTATATTGCGAAAAGTTGGGCGTTGCGAGATACCATGCAGCAGCGGACGGATGCATAGAAGGCGTACAATCAAGCGTTGCATAATATTCATCGTCTCATCATTGCGCACATGTCAGATGGCGTTTGGTGAGTTCTCTTTGCTTCCAGACGTATGCGTCGATCCCCGTATACTGTAAGGGTAATTGTGTCCTTTCAACCAGTAATGTTACAAGCGCATGTATTCCCTAGGCCATGCGAGTATGTTGTACAGTAGTTCGTTGGTATATTGCTTCATTCTTTCACTCCGTCTGTGCGTACACCTGTTCATGTCCAGCGCTTTAGATTTTTCGGACGAGGTTCGTAATCGCGGGAGCAGTCGCTGCTTAGAAGAGTTTCGAGACGTATTCGACGAGATGAGGTGCTGCAGGCTGTTAGTCTCCATCCAACCACCATGTAGTCCCAGATCATCCTTACAGAAGTACAGCACGACAGCGCTGGCAGCTGTCCACTTGATATCGGTCATAGTCTGTGCCTCGGCCGCGGCAAGCTCCTGCTTGGATGGTTGTGGTGGTGCTGTCGTGCACGTCAGCCTCGTTGTCTTGAATGCGGCAATCCCTGGCCAAACTCACCTCCGAACATTCTGGCGGTGTGTTGTATGAGGTATGAGGTCAGGCGATAGGAGGTGCTGTAGAGCGACAGGTGGTATGCAAGTTGGGTATCTCGAAGATGACGTTTACGGTGCACTTGGATACGCAAAAGTTTGGATTGTCGGCGTTTGGGCTACGATGTCGCCGATGGGGTTGGTCACGTGGTTGCGCGCACCCTTCTTGCAAGGCTGATCGCTCGATTTGCTCGCCCTTTCTCTTCAGCATGAACAGCAGACATTACTTTGAACCCTCTTTCTCAACTGTCGGGTCCAGCATGGCAGGACCCTCTTTCACGCAGAGCAACCAACAACAGTTCATCAAGTCTTCTGTCTCACAATCTATGCATAACAAGAAACCGTTTGCTCGAAGACTGAACGTCTTTCACTCAGACCTGATTACTAGTCTTCGGGGATTTCAATTCCTCCTCATCCCGACTGCTCAGTCGTGATTTCTTGTACGAACAAGCTGTCCTATACAGTAAAACGGACCGATGTACACTTGAACGGACATGCTGTTCACTCATCAACGCGCATACCCTTGACATATTCTCTTTGGAGCTGACACGAGTTCTATCAATCCCCAACTTCAACCTCCCAATCTGGCAACCTCCAATACTTCGATGATCAGCCCAAACCGAGACCAGGCCCCAGGCTGAATCGAAGGCGCATTTCTTCGACCCCCAATTCTGTCATTTCCACACGCTGTCATCTCTGGTAGCATGTCCCTTCATATGGGATCTCGTTGCATAGATCAATGTGCATTCGCCTCCACCTCATACAAGTGAAAACTGAACACCCTAGAGCCTACGTTCACGTTGGATCACCTATATTGCATGTTTTCATTTTGATGTAGGCTCCAGGGTGTTCAGTTTTCCCTCGTATAAGATGCCCCTGTCTTGAACCTACACAGGGCACGGAACCAGGTCAGTGAAGCTCGTGGCGCGGTGATGTCGAATTACCGGGAATAAACCCGCAAGCACGTCCACCTGCCGAAATCTGGGGGCGAGATGTGTAGAATGAACAGGCAGGTGCGAGTATATTCAGCGGCCTACAACAGCATATAACTCGCAGATTACAACTTCTAAGAACAATGTAGGCTTCTAACGTATGTACTTGTTTTTCTGATATGTAGCTATGCGGTCAGCGTTGCCTCAGATGAAGTGGTGGTTTACCATTCAGTGCGAGGCTAACGCAGGAGGCCGAGACTCAACAATGCACCCGCGTGCCCGCAGTCCGTGGAGGCATCATGCGCCCAACGTGCAGGTCGTACAATCTGTGTCGCCCCCATCCAGGACTCCGGAATTGGTATATGGTTTGATTGCGAAAGCTAACATTGGGCGCTGCAATGATCCGTTGCGAACCGGTGAACTAAATGTTTCAGATCTTCTAAACACGCCGTCAACAAGAACGCCACAGATTCCGATCCGAGCCCGAACAGCAATGCACCGCGCAGCCTGCGTGCCCAATCAGCGAAGCAAATACGCATGGCTGATCGCCGGATGTAGTTGCGGTCGATCGGCCCTACAACGACCCCAAATGATGACAGGGGCGACAAAAGATCCGCCCCTACTCGTGCTGTATTAATATGTGATCTTGCGGAAGTCTGACGGCCTTCAACTTCTGTTGTTCACTTTCCCGTCGCTCTTTACGTTCTTTATCGAAGATGTTGCTTTCCGCATCTTCCGTTGTGTTGGCATTGTACTCTTCTTGCGCAATCGCGCTGTCCGCTCCTTCCAACAACGGCTATGTCCATGGATCCTCCAACCTACACTTTGCGCCCCGCCACGCCCATCCCCATGCAAGACCTCGCCAATCTTTAGATCAGGATGCGTCATGTGCTCCATACTGGATGGAAGATATCAAACACCAGGGCATTGCTAGCTACAATCCGAACCCTGGCAACTACACCGTCTTCCGGAATGTCAAGTCTTTTGGCGCAGTCGGCGATGGAGTCCATGATGATACTGCCGCCATTCAGAGAGCGATCTCATATGGTGGCAGATGTGCGCCTGGAACTTGCGGGAGTTCTACTAATCAGCCTGCTGTTGTGTACTTTCCAGGTGGTACATACAAGATCTCGAGTGCTATCATCGACTATTACTATACTCAGGTATGAACACCTCCAGTGCAATCAAGATGGGATCACCAAAGTCAGCCAAGTAAAAAAAGGAAGGGTACCCTAGAAGTTACACTGACTTCTGACTCATCTACATACGGATGAAGATGTGGTGCATACTTGTAGGGTACATGCAACATGTCGGATTTTACTTGGGATCGGGCACTTTTGTGAAAGGTGTGGAACGTTGTGACTGACTCATTAAAGATCATCGGAAACCCAAACTGTCTTCCTACCATCCAGGCTGCGTCCAACTTCTCCGGCTCAAGTTTCGGCCTGATCGACGGCTCTCTATACGGCGACAATGGACTTGGTTTCGGTCCTACGGTCACCTTCTTCCGCCAGATTCGGAACCTCATCATTGACACAACAAAAATGTCGGCTAAGGATTCACCCACCGGAATCCATTGGCCAACTGCACAGGCGACGAGTATCCAGAACGTGATTTTCAACATGAATGCCGAAAACGGAACGCAACACCAAGGTCTCTTCGTTGAAGCGGGATCCGGTGGTTTCATGACGGATCTCGTCTTCAACGGTGGAAACAAGGGATTCATCGTCGGAAACCAGCAATTCACCACTCGCAACATCACGTTCAACCATGTCACCACCGCTATTGAGCAGCTCTGGGATTGGGGCTGGACGTACAAGTCTGTCTCAATCAACAACTGCCAGGTCGGACTCAACATGACCAACGGCGGTCCGTCTGCGGTCAATGTGGGGTCAATCACCTTCTTTGACAGCGAGATCACAAACACCCCGATCGGTATTGTTACCTCCAGGACTAAGAACTCCGAGCCTGCTGCTGCCGGATCTCTTTACTTGGAGAACATCAAACTCGACAATGTTCGTACTGCTGTAGCTGGACCCAACGGAACGTACCTAGCAGGATCTTCTGGTGCTTCGACTATCGAAGCTTGGGCTGACGGTCACCGATATCTGCCTCAAGGTCCCGTAGAGGTGCGCGGCGCTATTGACCCAACCAAGCGCCCAACAGAACTGTTGGGTGCAGATGGCAAATACTACGAGCGCTCGAAGCCTCAGTATGGCGATGTCCCACTGTCGCAGTTCCTCAGCGCTCGTGATCTTGGTGCCACTGGAGACGGTCGAACCGACGACACCGATGCTCTCAACGCCGCGATCCTCCAAGCTAACGCCGAGGGGAAGATCCTCTTCATCGACGCCGGTTTCTATGTGGTCACCTCTACAATCTACATCCCTCCCGGTGCCACTATCATTGGAGAGGCTCTTGCCTCTGTAATTCTTTCCTCTGGCCCCTACTTCAACGACATGGCCAATCCCAAGCCAGTTGTGCAGATCGCCCGACCAGGCGAACAGGGCCGAGTGGAGTTGTCCGATCTCTTCGTGAGCACAAAGGGCGCGCAGGCTGGTGCCATTCTGATTGAGTACAATCTTGGTACCTATACCGACGAGCCTGCTGGTCTTTGGGATGTGCATGCACGTATCGGAGGATTCGTGGGATCAGACCAGCAAGTCAAGCAGTGTGGGACAACGCCTAACATTACAACCACTGCGGCGAATTTGAAGGAGGAATGCATTGTATCCTACATGACTATGCACCTCACCAAGTTCAGTGCAGGACTGTACATGGAGAACAATTGGCTGTGGACTTCTGACCATGACCTCGACGGTGACGGCCAGCTCACTCTCTATGCTGGCCGTGGTCTGCTTGTTGAGAGTATCAACGGGAGGATATGGCTGTGAGTTTTCACCTTTGTAGTTTCGCCAACCGTCACTAACGTTATCGCAGAACCGGCACGGCAGTCGAGCACCACGTCCTCTACGAATACCAATTCGTCGACACAAAGAACGTCTTCATGGGCCAGATCCAAACGGAGACAGCCTACTATCAGCCCAACCCCGATGCTACCCTCCCTTTCCCAAACAACCCTGCGCTGTCTGACCCAGTCTTCACACACAAGCCTCTAAATGGAACGAACTCTACGTCCACTAGCACAGCGTCTGGCTGGGGTCTGCGCATCCTCCGCAGCAACAACATTCTCGGCTACGGAATAGGCCTGTACTCTTTCTTCAACAACTACTCGACGAACTGCTCGCGGGTTACGGAAGACAAAAAGTGCCAGTCGACCATTCTGTCGATTGAAGGGGGCCGCAACACGTACGATATCAATCTCTACAACGTGAACACTGTGGGTAGCACAGAGATTATCACGCGCGATGGAGT